GGTGTTGCGACGTGCGTCGGTGTGAAGCAGAAGCGTTCCTCGATAGTGCTTGCGTATTTCGAGGCGCTGAGATGAATGGCGTTGTCTTCGTCGAGAATGTTGAGCCCTAGGTAATGCTTGACATCAGGTGAGACTTTGAGGGAGAGATCCCTTTGGAGCTCCTTTTCGAACCAGGTGACAATGGCGGTAGTTGACTCGATGTAGAGTAAGTCATCGACGTAGACGATTAGCAAGACGTAGTCGTTGTCGTGGGTGAGGTGATACATGCCCTGGTCATGGGGCAGTTGGTCGAATCCGATACGTTTAAGTCGTGCGTGCAGGTACTGCTGCCAGAGTCGCGGTGCCTGTTTGATTCCATACAGCGATTGAAGTAGTTGACAGACGCGGGAAGGGTCGTCGACGAACCCGTGGGGCTGTTCAACGAAGATTTCGGCGTCGACTGGAGCGTACAGAATAGCAATGGCGACGTTGATTTGTCGGAGTGGGCGGCGACGTGAGGCGGCGATGGCGAGAAGAATGCGTAGGGAAGTATGTCGACTGACTGGAGCAAAGGTCTCGGTGAAGTCGCGACCAAATTCTTGGTCGAATCCGCGGACGACCCATCGAGCTTTAAATCGTTCGATGGTTCCGTCGGAGTTGGTTTTGATCCGGAATACCCATTTCCCAGACAGAATGGGTCTGTCTTGTGCGAGTGATGCAGGGACGATCTTCCAGGTGTTGCGGTCTGATAGCGCTTTTAACTCCTTTTCCATGGCTTCACGCCATTTTTCTTTGTGTTCCCCCACCAGAGCCTACTTGACAGAGCGAGGCTCTTCTGGTGGCGTCGAAGGCCCGTGCACTGCAGCGACGAGTCCCAGGACTTGGAGTCCGCTGGGGGTGTGACGGTTCAGCAAGGGATCCTCGGGATAGACTGTTTCGTCTCCCGCTTCAGGATCAGGTGCGAATCCGGGGCCATAGCGTTCAGAAATGTCGGTGTTGACGGGTTGGGGTGTTACGTAACCAGTGTCGGCGAAATGGTAGTAGGCGTCGGCATTGATGCTGTCGCGAGGATTTTCGTCGTCCATGGGGATTGGGACGGAGCAGTAGGGAAGGGGTCCAACAGCTTCGGAGGCGCCGTCGACGTTTTCTTCTTCCCAGTCAGCAGCGTCGGAGGGTGAAGCGAAGGCTCGGGAGCCAGAAAATCCGCCGGTGGGTTCGACGTGGCGTGCGATGTTGTCCAGGTAATGGTTGAAGGTGAGTCGCTCGTAGAAGATAACATCACGTGCTGCTACTATTTCCTTTGTGTGGACGTCGAAGATTCGCCAAGCTTCGTAATGTTTTGCCAGCCCGAGATGTAGACCCCACTGTGCACGTTGCAAAAATCTCCCTGCGCGTGCAGTGTGTGGGCGGTACTGTACCATACACCCAAAGACTCGTAACATTTTTGTGTTGCCCAGCTTCCCAGTCCACAACAGGTGCGGAGATGCGTTGTTGGGCAGTGAAGACGAGGACAGCAAGTTGTGCAGGAGGACAGCGTGGTCCATCGCTGCTGGCCATTCTGAGTTGGGCAGTCGTGTTCCACGTAGCAGCTTTCGCATGGTTGTCTGCAGGGTCCGGTTCATCCTTTCTACCACACCCTACTGTTGGTGAGCGTAAGGAAGAGAGATGAAGCGTTTGATGCCTCTTTTTGCCAAGAACTGCGTGAAGTGGTTTGACTGGTGTTCGTTTGCGCCATCTGACTGAAAACTCTTCAGTTTTACTCCCGATTCTCTTTCAGCGACAGGTAGCCAGGCTGTGAAGGCTTCTTGAGCCATATCTCGTGACAGTAAGTTGACGTGCCAGACATAACGTGTTGCGGCGTCGATGAAGGTGGTGACGTAGTTCAGATCTTCACGGCCTTCGGTTCGAGGTATGTATAAGATGTCGCTGTAGATTTTCTCGAGTGGTTGATAAACGGGGGCGCTGGGGTTGTGATGTGACGGGAACGGTTGATGAGGCAAGTCCGCTTCCGGACAGATGAGGCAAGTGCTGCGTGGTCGTTCGAGTTCGCGTCCGTTGGGAAGAAGCAGAGCGTTCTTGTCTAACACTCCGGCTCGTATTGTGTCATATAGTGTCTTGTTTCCAAGATGTCCAAGGCGTTGATGCCAAATGTCTTCGGAGGCGCTGTGACCGACGGAGCGTTGATAGAAGTCTGCGTTGGCGAAGAAGGCGGCGTGTGTTGCTGCACTTCGATGAACGGCGCGTGGTGCTAGCGTTAACTGTTGGGCGGCTGTCGGTGGCGTGTCGATGATGGGAGGTGGTGGTGGCACGACGGAGGGACCGGGCTGTGGGGTTTTGGAAAGTGGTTCCGCGACGACGGCTGGTTCTTCGACTGGAGGTCCGGTAATTGTTGGTGCTGTGGCGGGTGTTGTTGTTTTGATGACGGGTGCTGACTCAGGTGTTGTTGCCTGTGGTTGCAGGACGGCAAGTGCGTTGGTGCATTCAGCTTCGGGAATGGTACGGGAGTACCAAAAGCCTTCGGGACTGAAGTTCGGGTCAAGATTTGGCGGGTGCGTCCAAGGTGCGAGGGCGACTATGCCGTCGCTGTCGGCGGTGCCTTTGTTGGGGACGAAATCAAGAACGAAGACGTCGTCTTGTTGAATTGCGCGGCCGATGAAGACCCCCCCTTTTCCGTGGTAAAGACGAATTTCCCGGGCGTCGGAGTCACACTCCAGGTGAACGCCTTTCGACATGAGCTGGCTGACGCTCAGTAAGTTGAAGCCGAGGTTGTCGACGACGAGCACTTTGTTTAATTGAAGAATAACATTCGTTTCATTCGACTGAAGCTCCACGACTCCTTGTTTGTTGGTGCGCAGGTTTTCGTTGTTGGCGACGGTGATGATGACATCTCGTGGAAGACGTCGTTCGCGCTGAAGAAACCGTGATGAAGAACACATGTGGTGACCACAACAGCTATCAAGGAACCATGTGTCGGGTCCGGTGGGTGCGCTATTTGCGATGGCGGCATACGTTGGATTCACATTAAGGGATGGTGGCGGTGACGGTCGCTCGTCGGGACTGTAAGTCGGTGGTGAGCTGGAAATGCACGAGTCGATGTTTGACTCTGTTTTTTCGTGCCATGGCGACGATTCTTGATGTCTGTGCAGGTCCTGAAGTGGAAGTTGATGGTCGCGTTGAAGTAGTCGTTGAGGCGGTCGCGGGACGTTGTTGAGTTGACGCGATGTGAGGAGGCGTTGGTCGCAGAGGACGAGAGAATGATGCTGGTTGTTGTTGTTGCTGAGGGCAGTTGAAGCGTGTATGTCCTGATGTCCGACACAGATGACAGTAAGGAGGTACGTGTCTTCGATTTTGGTAACTTGGCTGTCGTCGATTGGTGTAAAGAACGACTGGTTGATGATGTCTTTTGTTGTTGCGTTCTTCGAGCAGGTCCATTTCCTGCTGCTAGGCGTGAAGTTCGGCGCAAAGATGCATCTCGGAGAGTCGACCGTGAGCGCGAAGAAGTGAATGGGTGGTGCGCCATTGAGGTTCAAGGCCGGCGAGAACGACGATTAGAAACGCTTCTTCAGATAAGTTTCCTCCGCAGCGAATGAGTCTGTCGCGTAGTCCTTGACAACGACTGATGTAAGGCATGGCCTTTTCTCCAGGTTGCATTTGAACTGTTGTCAGTTGTGCCATGAGTATGCTTTGTGTAACGCTGTCGGATGCTAAATGAATGCTTCGCAGATGCTGATAGGCGAGTTCCGCGGAGTTTGCGTAGTTCCGGTAGGCGCGGATGCTTTGCTACTCGTTCGGCGACAAATTTCGAAGAAGTACGGTGTAGGCCATCAGAGAGTGATAAGTATAATTTTCCTTGTCTTTGTCTTCGCTGTTGTGTGGATATGGCCAGGTACCGTTGAAGAATCCAAGAAGGCTCGTGCCTTCCATTAGAAGTTCAAACTCGAAACTCCAAGAATAGAAGTCTTTCCCGTTGAATGGTGTGGATGTGTGCAGTCGTAGGATGTTGTTGAACTGTGCTTGTACTTGCAGGACTTCTTCGGCGTCTCGTTTGATGGCGGGAAGAGGAGTCGCTGGATGGCGAGGCGGCATAAACGTGAAGGAACCAGGTGAGACTGAATTTGGTGTTTGTTGATTATGTCGTCGGAACGATGAGTTGTCAATACTCATTGGTGCTGCTCCGTTGTTTACGCTGCTGCTGTTTGCAGGTTGTGAGGACTGCTGCTGCGACATGAAGTTGAAGAATTGCTCCATTAAGCTTGGGTCGAAGCTTGTTGGCGGCGCTACTGGTGGCTGTTCCGTCGTGAATCCGGGCGTTGTTCCTCCTTCGGTCTGCAGCTCAGAGACCGGGGGTAGAGTAGATCCCGTAGATGACCTTCTTTCTTTGCCACTTGCCATGTCTTGCCTTTCTTGAATAAAGGTTGAACTTCTTGTTTGCTTGCAGATTGGTAGCCTGGGAGAGGCTTAGTGACGAGAGCCTTGTTCTCTGACCGCTCTCATACCGGTACCATGTTGGGCTGAGAATTTCAGCCTTAGGATCTTTGCAGAGAATAGGCTAGTAGGTGCTAGAGTAGCACAGCGGAAGACTTGAGTGAATGTACTTGTGCTGGTGTGTGAGAACAAGTAATTGATTAAGGCAAAAAGCATATAGGAATATATAGGAAAGATAGATTACAGGAAGCGGTTATGTTTATCGAGACGCGCAACGCTTCGACTATTGAGGCGGTTACTGTTCACTGAAGCGTCGCTTGCTGTTACGTAACCTCCAGGCGGTTACAGTTCGCAACCTCCAGTTGCGGTTTGATGTGGTACGCGCCCTTTCGACTTCGTACCCCTTTTGTTGTGCTTCAGTATCGGGTGAGGTTCGATACTACAGAAACGCACTAAGTCATGCGTTTATATTCCCAACAAAAACCATTGGCTCTGTTATAATGGAAGGAATACCAGTGCGGTACATGTTGTACTGCACCCTTACGGAGTACTAATAGCGGACTCTTGAGGCACATGGTGCATGTTCTTCTCATATCCTATGGCATGCTAGTTGAGGAGCCACCACTAACAGCCGCTTGAATCGCGCGGGCCATTTCAGCACTGAAGTCAGAGTAGTCATCAGAGCCTCCAATTTCCGTGTCGATGCCAGAAACCTCCGTGCTCACCTGCACCCCGAACATCTCCTGCTTTATCCTCACCAGCTCAGCCAGCACTAGGAGCATGGAGGGACGGGAAACCCCAGGCAGAGCAGTGGAGGAGAGGGCAAGGCGAGCCAAGCGCAGCACCACATCATCCGGTGCTTCCAAGTGAGGGTCCTTGAATTCTGCCACTGCTCCTGAGATCACCAGTGGGGCTACCTGCCAGGTTGAAAGGATATGGCATACGAAAAAAAGGTTTCTCTTCTTCCTTTTTCCAGGAGTGTTGCATGAAGAGCAAGTCTGTCAATACACTGGTATTAGAGTAAAATAGGTGACAGGAAAAAGTTGTATTACCGAGAAGGATATAGACACATGGGATGGGTGAGTAGTTTGGAAATAGGTGGGGCGGTTTGTGTGAGAGGACCAACATGCGCTAGGGAGAGAAGCAACAAGGTAGACAGCTAGGATAGGCAAGCTGATTGTGTGACTGACACGTGCAAGGTGAAACAAGACTTGAGAGTTTATCATCATCATACTCGCCTTGCCCAATAGAGCATAGACCAGAAACGTGTAGGCTGGTTCATGTGACCAGAAAGGAAGAGAGGATGAACCAGCCCACATGTTTCTGGTCAAGGTGTTAGAAACCTTTTTATTGTGTCTGGTTGCGGTAATGCACTTGGACTTACGAAAGATGGTGTTAGTGCCCCATTTGGACGTTTTCTAAGCTTTGTATTCCATTCTGAGGTACGCCTCACCCACTGTGACCTGCGTCTCACCCACTGTGACCTGCGTCTCACCCATTGTGACCTGTGTCTCACCCATTGTGACCTGCGTCTCACCCACTGTGACCTGTGTCTCACCCACTGTGACCTGCGTCTCACCCACTGTGACCTGTGTCTCACCCACTGTGACCTGTGTCTCACCCACTGTGACCTGTGTCTCACCCACTGTGACCTGTGTCTCACCCACTGTGACCTGTGTCTCACCCATTGTGACCTGTGTCTCACCCATTGTGACCTGTGTCTCACCCACTGTGACCTGTGTCTCACCCACTGTGACCTGTGTCTCACCCACTGTGACCTGTGTCTCACCCACTGTGACCTGTGTCTCACCCACTGTGACCTGTGTCTCACCCACTGTGACCTGTGTCTCACCCACTGTGACCTGTGTCTCACCCACTGTGACCTGTGTCTCACCCACTGTGACCTGTGTCTCACCCACTGTGACCTGTGTCTCACCCATTGTGACCTGTGTCTCACCCATCTCTTGATATTGACGTGATCGTCCTCTATAACAAGCACAGCCTTGCGCCCCGTTACAACCACCAGCATCACCACGCCAAAACTGCAAGCCAAGCATAAGTGCATCATCAAAGAAAATATATTTTATCACATGCACAGCCTCGCGCCCCATGACGACCACTGGCATCACCACGCCACCAAAACTGCAATCAAGGCAACCAAAAAGGACATCATTTGTGAAACGATGCTTATGTGTGACACACTTGAAGATGCATAGGACAATTTCCATAGAAAAAATCATCATGATTAATATGACCTTCTTCACAACCACTTGTGTCCCAAACCCCCATGTTAAGTGGCCGAGAATCTCAGAGCCTTTGATTGGTCAGGCATGCCAATGCATTCCTCAAATGACAGCCGCCATGAACAGCCACTATGAAACGAGGCAAAAAAACACGGTGAAGGTAAAAAATCCAAAGAATTTTCACAAACATAAGATGCCTGTTGGATGGTTATTTCGACCCAATCTGCTAAACTGTATCAATCTTCTGACATGCACCAGTGTGCTTACCTGTGCTGTGCCAATCTACTCACCTGTACACATCAACAGCAGGAGAAGGCTTGTGTGAGCTGCAGTACTCAGGGTCCATATAGCCCAGTGTTCCCACCAGCCGAGTGGCAGCCTCAGATATGGCCACAGATGTCCCTCCAAGCAGCTTCACGAGCCCAAAGTCTGCAACCTTTGCCTGCCCATCATCAACCACAACAGCATCATCATGCAACGGGAGATTAGGTGACGTAACTCTATGCTGGGCTGTTCACAAAATCACATGATGGCTGAAAAGGATGAACAAAACGGATGAACAAAGCACCTTCTTTCACATGCAACCCAGCTTTACAGTTTTGAGCATGCCTGCATTTTCCCATCAAGGAGAATGTTGGCCGGCTTGATGTCGCGATGCACAATCTTGAAGTCATGAAGATACTGCAACCCCTTGGCCACTCCAATCAGAACGTCCAGCCTTTGTTGCAGCGAAAGAGGGCTGGAGACACCGGGACCGATCCAACGATTGAGGTCGCCGTTGGGCATAAGGTCATAGACAAGAAGCTGCTCCATTGTTCGTGTGGACGGGTCAAAGTCGATGCAATAGCCCAACAGACGCACGAGATGCGGATGGTGCTTGCTTGCCATCTCTTTTACCTGATGGGGGGGAATGACGGTGAACACATGAAAGCAGAAGAAACAAGCAAATGAACAATCAAGTGATGGGACTTGGCACAAGAATCCAGCAAGGGACGTGGCACCAACCAAACTCATAACATGATACCTCTTTCTTGAATTTGTTTGTGCGGATTCTCGAAGCCGACTTACCTCCCTATGGAAGTCGTTTGTGAGCACTCGAGCTCGCTTGACTGCCCAAGCTTGATTGCCATCGTGGGGAGAAACAGCCTTGTACACAGCCCCAAAGCCACCACTTCCTATCCAGTTCCCCTCAGCCCACTCTCTTGTGGCCTTGGTTAGTTCTGCCAGGGAGTATTCTCGACACACATATGGCTGTGCTACATCCATCTCCACCATGGGCGGCTTGCGTGCCGACCCAGACACAGGCTCCTTGGCCGGCGCACCCGCGGAGGGCGGCAGGGTCAGCTGCTCGGGGGGCGTGTCATCGGCAATGAGCAGATCGTCCAAGACAATGCCGCCCCGCAGCCCGCCGTACACAAAGATAATATTGCCGGCCGAGGCGGCGGCGTGGCGGCAGCGGCGGGTGAGCTCGGAGGACGCGTCGCCGCCCGGCACGTCGGCACTGTAGCGGCCGGTACGGGCGGATGATACTATGGCCTTGCGATCACACCACTCGCCTGCCGCTGAGTCGAAAACTGTTCAAAGATAGAACGTGGGGTTTGGAGGAGTAGGGGAGGGGTGAGGGGGGAAGAAGTAAGAGCGTCAGCACTGTAGCAGCCGGTGCGGGCGACTAATACCACGGCCTCGCGGTTACACCACACGCCTGCCGCCGTGTCCAGGACTGTGCGTGTGTGAATGAAGGAACAAGGGCGTGGGAGAGGGGTGAAAGGGAGAGGAGGAAGAAAGAGTATCGTCATACCATGGCCTTGCGGTCGCACCACACGCCTGCTGCTGTGCCCAGAGCAGCGTGTGCAGAAGGCGATAGGAGTGAGGAAGGAGGGACAGCAGAGGGGAAATAATATTCTCATGCACCTCAAACACAACAATGACCATTTGGCCTCCCTATAGACACACTCACTCACCGGCGACACTGGAAGCGTCTTCCACCATCCTCCCTTCCCCCAGCTCTCCTCCAGAGACGTGCAGGCGCAGCCCCACAAACACCTGCGCGCAGGGCAGGGTTCAGGGCAGGGTTCAGGGCAAGGTTCAGGGCAGGTTCAGGGCAGGTTCAGGGCAGGATCCAGGGCAGGTTCAGGGCAGGTTCAGGGCAGGGTTTAAAGCAGGTTCAGGGCAGGTTCAGGGCAGGGTTCAGGGCAGGTTCTGGGCAGGATTCAGAGCAGGTTCAGGGCAGGGTTTAAAGCAGGTTCAGGGCAGGTTCAGGGCAGGGTTCAGGGCAGGTTCAGGGCAGGGTTCAGAGCAAGGTTCAGAGCAAGGGATTGAGTTCTGGGCAGGGTTCAGGTTGAGGGTCAAAACGTTCACACTCACACATACAGTCACGCCCACACTTACAGCCACACCCACACCTACAGTCACACCCACACATACAGTCACACCCACACATACAGTCATACCCACACATATAGTCACACCCACACGTACAGTCACACCCACACATACAGTCACACCCACACATACAGTTACACCCACACATAGAGTCATACCCACACATGCAGTCACACCCGCACATACAGTCACACCCACACATACAGTCACACCCACACATACAGTCACACCCACACATACAGTCACACCCACACATACAGTCACAGCCAGACTGACAGTCACACCCACACATGCAGTCACAGCCACACATACAGTCACACCCACACATACAGTCACAGCCAGACTGACAGTCACACGCGCCTATGTGCAGGCATGCATGCAATGCAAGACAGGACTCGCAGCAACATGCTGATAGAAAGCTCCTCACAACAGCGCCGCTGAGAGGAGTCCTCTCAAAGGACTCACAGAAGCACAAAATGAATGAAGCAACTCATGGCAATGTGTTTGGGGGACTCGCAGCAACACGTTGTTGTTAGTTACATTACAGAGTGGCTTAGTCACGGCATGAAGAAAAGAAACCCACAGCAGCGTGTTGGTAGCGCGCCGAGGGGGACACGCCAGGCGCCACAGCCCACTCCCACACGCCATCTTGACGCCGAGCCAAGAGAAACGCCCCGGGTAGAGGCTGATGTGGTGCGGAACGACCAGTGCAACATGGACGGGGGGGGGTCGGGAGACGGGGTGAGGGGGTGCGGGGGAGAAAGTGGCAGGGTCAGTGCGTGGGGAAGAGGCATTAGGAGGGAACAGAGCAAGTACACAAGGGTGTGGAGTGAGTCCACTCAAGAGCCCACCACCACTCTAATGCCACGCTATGTTGCACCTGACGCTGGACGTTCAGGAAAATGTTTTTTCGGGCAGCCCGGAAAAAAACATTTCCTAGTTCAATTTAGGTTAAAGATTCAGTATACATTTGAAAGGCTGGGGTTCATAGCCACGTGCTACTCACCACGCTGCTGCCGTCTCTGCCGCCTCACAGCAGCAGCAGCCCATCGTGCCTGACACATACTACTGTGCCTTGTGCTTGGTGAATCGACTCAAAAGCATATCACCACTCTCATGCCACGCGCAACGCAACACAGCTCACCACGCCACTGCCGTCTCTGCCGCCGCATAGCAGCAGCAGCCCGTCGTGCCTGACGCTGGCCGTGGCATACATGCGGCGCGGCGGGCGAATGCCCTCTGGGTCCAGCTTCTTCCACTCGTACGGCTTCACTGTCATGTCCAGTGACCACACGTCCGACAGCGTCCAAAAGCCTGCCGGAAAGGAAGCAGTGGTGAGGGGAGGGGGGGCGACGGGGAGTGGGGTGGGGGGAGGGGGGAGCGGGGGAACGGAGGAACGGGGGAACGGAGAGGTAGAAGACGAAAGAGGGATGTAATGGATAGCTGTTGTGTTCTTTAGCATAATAGGGCAAACAACAGCGGCTGTGTCCAACGATCACACGAAATTTAGAAACTAAAAAGCGCAAACAAATAAGGCCAAGAGGGGGTCAACGCCAGAATTTTCCATCCCATCCCCCACAATCACTCCATCACTGACGTCAGTGATGAGTGCACCATGGTCCACCGAAGCACATACCACTCGACGAAACTGATCAGGCTAAACAAACACATCAAGTCACATCCCTCTGCATCACTGACAGATGCACGGACGGACCACAAGCGTGAAGTCAATCTACAGCTCGGTCCCAACAAGAGAGCAAGAAAAGGCCCTGCGCAACCCTCTCACCGTCGGTTCCACTGATGGACAGAAGATAGCGCTGCCCCACGACCGCCATGACGTGACCATATCGAGGCCCAGGGCCAGCTCCTTGCACCGCCACTCTGCTCGTTACAAGCACACGCCCCACCACCCACAGCAACACCATTAAAGCACCTCGTTACAAGCACAAGCCGAACAACAACAACAGTATTGCAACAGTTAACCGCAAACAGTCAAAAAGGAAAACAGCACAACAGTCACAAGCCGCACCTGTGCCACTTGGGTTGAGCCTGAGTCAGGTCCAGCACATGCAGATCGTCAGTGGCGAGCCCTGTCGGCCCTATCCCGCCCTGAATCACCACCATCGTGCCCATCGCCGCCGCCGCATGCGCTGCTCGCGGGGAGGGAGGCTCGCCAACAGGGGACAGCCTGGGAAAGAAACGGAGAAAAGAAAGAAAGAAAGAAAAAAAAAAAGTGAGGCGCTTAAGAAGTCCATGTGCTACTCGCGGGGGAGGGGGGAGGCTCGCCCACACACAGGGGACAGCCTGGGAGTTCAGGGGAGATATTTATAGGGGGGCCAAAGGTGCAATGTGCTGCTCGCGGGGAAGGAGGCTCGCCTACTGTTATTAGCTTGGGAGAGAGGAGAAGGAAAAAACAGAATTGATGCCAGGTAGGTAGGTAAGCACCACGAAATGCGGTTGGTAACAGGGTTACACCGATACACCGATATCTTTTTTATTTCCTCCAGTACTTTCCCGATACAGATGAAGCGCAATCAGTCACTGGAAACTCCCAAACAAACCGCGCCAAAACGAGCGGATGAGCTCACTCACTTGCTCCATGACTGCGAGTTGACGTCGAAGCAATGCACGTCTGCCGTGGCTCCGGCCACTGAAAGACCGACGGAAGGAAGAAGCAAAAGAGCGCGGAAAGGCGAATCGTTACAGACTAAGAATGTTCTAGAGTCAAGCTGCTTCCCAAACCCTGCGGTGGCGCCTAAGAAGGACTAAGAAGGATGATTAAGAAAGAGAGAAGAAGTGCTTGTCATGAGCGAGCGTACGTACAGTTTAAAGCACGATTGTTAGCCAGCATTTCTATGCTAGTAAGTGTTAACCCTAATCAGAGAGGAGACCGCCGCGAAATCGTTTAACCAGGTGCCAGCTTAAAACCGACCCAGCAGCCGCTTAGCGAGGGATCTTCCCACGGTTCCTGGCTTACGTTTTAAGGCTGCTGCTCCTGCCGCGGGACCTGCGCCTCCCTCCAACGCCGCTGCTCCGCCAAAGAGGATAAGTCGCGGACCGATGTAGTTTGTGCTGCCAGGCTCTCCGATAGGCGCGACGGCGGTAAGCGTGTGACCGCACCGGGGCCCAGGCGACTCCCCTTCGAAAGCGCATGGCGTGTACGCAGGTGCGATACGCAGCAGTTCCCCGTCCTCCATTCCCATCTTGGCTGGTAATACGGTTTTGTTTAACGCAGGGAATAAATGTAAATTTTGAAGTAATGTGGTCTGATATAGACCACCTCGATTCATGCACTTGCCCATTGACTTGGGACCAGCTACACGTGTTTTCAAACGTCCATTCCGTCCCCCTCATCCCCGTCCTGCCCCATGCACGTCAAGGGCTTTTCTCGCCGCGCGCGTGGGGAGGAAGGCCAACCTTTGAAACCTAATTCGACGGCTACGAGCTGCAAATGCAAACTGTTTCACACCACCCCCAGACCAAATCGCGCACAAGCCAACCCAAACACGCCAAGTGACCTTCCCTTCCACCGCAATCTCCACTGTTCCACCTCACCTAACCCATGTATCCACTTCTCGCAACTGCTCGCACCCACCCGCATCCTTCTGCACCTGCATCCACGCTTCAACTGAAGTCGGCTGATTTCCCCCCGAGGCTGAATTTCTGTCAACCATCACACACAGCACATCTCAGATCTCCAATTTTCTCGCACTTCTTGCAACAAACTTACTATGTGTCTATAGTAAGAAGTGCCTGGCAACTCCTCACTGCACCTTTTCAAATCTTTTCGTGACTCGAAGCTTATCTTCAGTCTTTGGTAGTAGCGCGTTAATTGCCTGCCCGTCCTTATTGTGCGATCAGCGCCTGGCAACTTCTTGCTGCCTTAGACAGACACAGTCTTTGCAACAGCCACATGTTTTCTTTCACTGTCGCCTTGATCGTTTCCCGCCCTATTTCTCGAAACCAGCTTTGAGGAGGAAGGGGTGTGGGGGGTTTGTTTGATATGTGCATTATGTTGCCCTAAAAGCCCCTAATTCAAAACACGTCCAGACCTCAATTTGACCTCGACCCAATTTTTCATGTCAGGACGGGTCAAGAAAACAAGGAGCCTCTCCCCCGAAGGTGAACCATCCCGACCCGACCCATGCAGCGGGCCTTGCTTTGACAAATTCGGGTTGGGTCAGGACAGGCCGACCCAACCTCATATTTACCTCAAGAACAACCCTCCTTCATCGCCTTCCAACAGGCCAACGGCAATAGGGGCTTTCCCTGGCAAGGCCCAACTCCTTGTGCTCAAGGGCCAACACTCCATAACTCAACCTCAACACCCAGACGTACCTAGGCTCTGGTGAGTAATGGCTGTGGCGGTCCGGTCGACCGAATTGGAAGAACCGGGCTGCGAGCGGAACCACGACCCCAAATTCACTTCCCCAAACCACGACCCCAGGGAAAATCGACGCCCCTTCTCCCCGCTTCGCCCCGCTACTGCTGGTGACTGGCTCCCCACGCTCTTTTCGGCCACTACCACGTCCTTTTGGCCACCACTCCTCGACACCAGATTCTCGGCACCAGGGAGGTTCGCGCGGCGAGCAAGGTTGATTGCGAGCTCCGGATTGTTGAGCTGGCCGCTGACAAACGGGACAATGGTCTGCTCGTTCACCGTGGCTAGCAGAACCTTGCCGCAGAGATTCACGGCGTAAACACCGCCCACGCTGGGAGCGTCGGCTGCCAGGAAGATGGGGTCGGGGCTGATGCGATCGCGGTAGATGGCTGTAGCAGACTCAAGGTCATACACAAAGAGCAGGCCTAGCTTGGTGACGACATATACCAGACCGAACTTCGCTGACACCTGAGTGAGGGGGGAAAGGGGTAAAGGGCGGTGGGCGAACACGGGAGGGGAACAAGGGGGTTCAGCGGCAGAAGCGGGGAGAGTCGGAATTGTTTGTGGGGTGAAGCATTGAACGCAAGCTTCCTCACCTGCATGGCAATTGGAAAGTCATCAGCGAAAGCTGCTGGGAAAAACAGGTCGGCCAGCTTCTTAGTGAAAGGAACACGACCTGCAAAGAACAACCAGGCTTACCCTTGTCAGCTAAACTGATATATTCTGAGACATCCAAATTTCGTACGAAATTCGCTGACCTGGTTGATCACCAAGCTCCGTTATATGCAACTTTGATATACGCTGTCCGTCAGTGATAGTCTTGGTGGCAAACGCAATGACAAGGGAAGGAGTGTCGTTTCCTGGCATCTGCACAATCACACAGCCAGTCCTCGAGTACTTGCTTAGCAATCCAAACGCTTGGCATGCACTCAATGTACAATATCGTGTGAAAGGGTTACGGAATCAACAGACCTTCACAGAGGCAAACGCAGCTACGTGCGCTTCCAATGCCTGACTCTTTTGCTCATCCACGGAAAAGAGCTGCATATTTCCCTTGACGAGTTGTGGACGCTGCAAGCAACCACCAAGGCAAACATCATCAATAACCATTCTCACAACTTCTGGTTACTTTAAAGGGCAAGACTTTCTGCATACTTCAGGATCATCACGGTCGATGCCGATCAAAGCGAGCCATTTGCCAGAGGGATCACTCTGGTAGTTGATTATCTCACAGCCGTTCAAGTTTGCTGTCCGCTCAAACATCTTAACGGGTCTTACCTCGCCTGATCGAGACACAAAGAAAAGGGAATAAAAAGTCTCAGCACAGTACTGCATCTTCGCTGCAAAAGCTTGCCTATGATGATTCAAGAGAATTTTGAATGTGAAAGGGTTGGCAGATGATGCAGTCAAAAACTCCAACCTTCGATCGACCAGTGGTAAAGAGATGTCCCAGTCACGAGGCCGAGGACTTTGTTGGAAATCCACTTCCAGTACACAATCTGCAAAGAGCGAGAGAGCAATCTGTACGTAAAGCTTTTCAAACTGATGGCAGATGCAACTGTAATCTGGTGCTGACCTTCTCTGGCATCCGGTACGACTTGAATTTAGCCCTAGCCTCGATGTCGAGAATCCGCAAGTGATTCGTCCCTTTAATCAAAGCGGCTGCACGTTCAAACCGAAAAGTCTAAGTGATCCGAACGCCAAGAGCTGACTCTTGAGCTGACCCAAGAACATCCTCAGACGTAAGGACGAACAAGCAGCGAACTGACCCAAGATTTTGCTGTCAGGATTTATCAATGCTGAGTCAGCAGTGAAAGGCCTCCTCAAAGGCTGCATTGGCGTCGCCATGTCAATAATGACAACGCTGTTCGACGGAGCCGTTTCCCTGACACAGATATAATTTTCGGACTCCATCGTGACATGAGTGAAGTTAATGAACCGTTGATTGACCCCCAGATTTGTCAACTGCACAAGGAGATACGGTGGGAAAAATGGTCCATGTCGTAAAACTCAAAAATCGTTCAGTAACAGTCCACCTTAAGAACCTAATTTTACCAGCAAAGCGACCGTGACGCAGTTAAAACACATGAAACGGATCAGTCTCTCCTGGTCGATCTACACAAGAACTACCTTTCAATCTTTCCTACTCACGCTGAGGGCCTCCTTCCAAACGATAGGAGCACTTGCTGTAGCCATCTTGCCACCGCAGGAAACGCTAACCGATAAAGAGACGCGAGACCCAAATTGAGTGGCCTGATCGCAAGAAACTCCTACTGATGTGGAGCCTACAGGGAGGATGCCTTTTGTTAGGTAACCGATCTAAATAGCTGATCTAATCCAACTCAATTGAAAAGGTTCATTCGAGTGCCAGTGCAGACGGCAGTCGAACCGCGCAAGCAAATAGCAGCCGTATGAACCTTTCATTTTGCCTTGCCACACCCTTCCTATGCCAATTCGCGCAGGCACAAGCTTCCCATCTTGGGCGGCTCGAATCAGGGCGTATTCTTGGCTTTCGGACACCGGTGTTTGAGTCATCCCAAATCTTGGGAAGACCCGAGGTGCAATGCAGCACCTCGGGTCAACGAGCCAATTGTGTTAACGATTTATAAAGTCAAATATCTAGCTGGCTACAAGAAATCGCAACTCACATCGTTGAAATCTGCGATAGTCAGAGCAAGCTGGCGAGTAATTCCGATTGTGGACGAGGCTGAAATGCGCAATGTTGCATCAACATTTGAGTGTGAATGTTGTCGCAGCCTCAGAAAAGTCGCACTCCGGCTACGCGAAAAAAATCTGGGGAGAAAGTATTTTCGTTTGCCATATTCGCTGAAGCTCGCTAATACCCGAAGCGGAAGTCCCGAAGCTCGAGTCGGAAAACCCGCGTCTCGGAAAATATTTCGGGAAGTCCCAAATCCCGGATGTCCCAAAGCCAAGAATACGCCCTCACTGTTTGTGACCCAACGGTCACCGCCGATTCCATCTTGGCTCCTTTTTTTCAAGAACCTGTTGTGCATACGGTAGAAGTCCAATAAAATGACATACCATGCAGTCAATGATGTTGCTGTTGCATTTGTAAAAACAAATGGTGAAATTTCAAGATGTACGATAAAAAATATTTGTGCAATATGGACAGCAAATTTTAGATTTTTTGATGTGGAAGTTGAAAAAATGTGAATTTTGAACAGCCTGTTGAAAATATTTATATACTTGGTACCTACCTAGAAGAGACTGGCTTTCACCGTTGGCCACTACTAGGACACCCATAGATACCGGTAGTAATATCGTAAGTCAACAGAACATACCATAGGGTTTTTAAGTCGTGTATAGCATTCCAGAACAACGCTCATGGTGACCATACATTACATAGTGCTCATATGCACTCATCCGAACTCGCACACTTGCCCATCCCTCTCAAACACACGCATCCCCCACCCTCACACAAATTCACCCCTCGCCCTTGCATCCAGCCTCCGAAGCGCTCAGATGTGAAGGAGAGGCTTCAGGCCTCGACTGTTTGCTCTCTCCCGGCCTAACCCAGCGGGCAGAACCCCCGCTGCAACCAGATGTCATGCGGCTATGCACCCATGCACCCACGCACCCACGGGCCACGGACCCATGCACCCATGCAGCCATCCACCACCCACCAATCCATGCACCCATGCAGCTATGCTTCCCCCGCCACTCACACCCTGCCCTCCCAGGCGCTCTCTTCACGGCACGAAGCACATTCCAGCAGCGCTCGCACGGGGGGGGGGGGGGAGAGGGGGAGGGGGGGGGGGGGGGGGGGGGGGTGGGTGGGTTGGGTGGGTTTGAGCCCCAACCGGCTAGCCCGATCACAACCCTCCATAAGGGAGACCCCACCGCAACAATCTAATGCCTTGCACCCATGCAGCTATGCTCACCCCCCCCACCCCCCTCTCACACCCTGCCCTCCCAGACACTGTCTTCACGACACGAGGCAGATTCCAGCAGCGCTCGCACGTGCGGCGGAGGGTTGAGCCCCAACCGGTTGGCGCGCTGCCAGCGCTCCAGGCGGGAGAGGCCAGTGCAGGGGCCGAACGCCATGTCCATGTCAAACAGCTGTAGGGCGCGCTCAGTGTGCTCTGCCTGCTCCTGCGGTGGTGCGACGATGGCGTCTGGAGAAAATTGGAGTTGGCGAGACAGGGAAGAGTATGGGAAGCGACACGGAAGGGGGTGCAAGTCGTGTGAATGTCAAAGAACTGCAGCGCCTGCTCAGACTGCATATGCGGTGCTATGGCGGCATGTTAGAATGAGAACGTGAATGAATGAACTATGAATGAAGTGAGTACATATAGGAAACCCTAATTGGGTTGTACCCCCTATGGGATACCCCACTATAGCCTACACAACAGCATAAGCTTTAATGTTCTGACACACCCCCATAGGCAAAGTGGGGGAGAACAAGGGGTCACAAGACCAGTCAAGCAAAGCAAAGCAAAGCTCAGGGTGGATCACAAAGTCACCACAAAGTCCGAGCACAAGGTCAAGGCCACAAGGCCAGTTCACATGCAAGACGAGACATATATATATATATATATATAAGACTAAAAACGCAAGAGCAGGTATATATATATGCAAGAGTACAAGCAAGGTCAAGAGGTGAGCAAGTGAGGTAGGACAGGTACAAGTCCCAGCTGAGTGCAGAAGCGCTGATGATCACAAGGCGGAAGTGCCTTGATGAACACATCAGCAGTGTTGGCCTCAGAGGCCACGTACGCAAGTCGCAACTGACCACGCTGCTGCAGCTCACGAGCAAGGAAGTAACGAAGAGCAATGTGCTTCGTTCTGTGCTCCAAGCGCTGCTCTCGACACAAGGCCAGCATGGCCTTGTTGTCTACGTACAGCACTGGAGGAGAACGAGGCACCTCTCCAAGGTCAGTCAGCAGGTAGGTGAGCCAGCGAAGCTCTTCCGAAACGAGGCCGCAAAGGGCCAGACAGGGCCGCGGAGGGGCCTAGACGGGGCCGCAAAGGGCCTAGACTAGGCCGCAGAGGGGCCTAAACGGGGCCGCACAGGGGCCGAAACGGGGCCGCAATGGGCCAAACGGGGCCGCGGAGGGGCCTAGACGGGGCCGCAAGGGGCCTAGACGGGGCCGCGGAGGAGCCGTAAGGGGCCTAGGCGGGGCCGTAAGGGCGGCGCGAGGGGCCTTAGAGGGCGGCGCGCGGGGCCATAGGGGGCCGTAAGGGGCCGTAAGGGCGGCGCGACGGGCCTAGAGGGTGGCGCGAGGGGCTGTAAGGGCGGCCAAAGGGGCCACTAAGGGCGGCTCGAGGGTAGGCAAGGCACACGAAACGCGACTCGGGTAGGAGTGAAGCGCGCTCCGGGCAGGAAGAAAAAGTCGTAGATCTCAGCCTCACAGCTGGAGCCGAGAACAGAAGACGAGCGAGTAGCCCGCCAAGAAACAGAGCCAGAACCAAGACTGAAGGTGTACCCCTGCGACGACCGCTGCGTAGCCTGGTCGTCAGCCCAAGAAGCGTCCGCGTGACCAGTGAGGACCACTGGACTCCGCCCTCCAAGCACTAGCGCCATGCCCGACGTACTGCACAAGTAGCGCAACACCCTCTTCGCTGCAGCCATGTGCTCTGGTCGGTGTCTCCCAGGAGCAACATAGCGTGCAAGAATGCTAAGAGGGTATGCAAGGTCAGGTCGTGTGCAGGTCATCAGGTACATGAGGCAGCCAACAAGCTCTGGGTACGGGCCACTCGACTCTACGGACTCATCCGAAGGCAGAGCTGAGAGCGAGTGGCGAGTAGGCAGAGGAGTGGCCTGAAGCGAGGAGTACGTGAAGCCGAAGCGCTGAAGGACCTGCTGCACCATGTGTGACTGAGTCAAGGTAATGGTGCGGCGTGCTCTGTCCCGGGTGATCTGCAAGCCAAGGTAGCTGCGCAGTTCACCCAGGTCTGTGCACGTGTGTCTCTTCTGCAGCTCGGACTTCACGTAGGCGAGTCCAGCAGTGTCAGCAGTGGCAAAGACCAAGTCGTCGACGTACACGAGGATGTAGAACGGCGGCAGAGAGGTGTCGGCGCGCAGAAACAACGACGGGTCAGCAGTAGAGGGAGCAAACCCAAGAGCCGCAAGCGTAGTCCTCAGTGTGTCGTGCCACTCACGCGGTGCCTGGCGGAGACCGTAGACTGGCCGTCGGAGGCTCCACAGGGTGCCAGGAGGGAAAGTCCCAGTGAAGCCAGGTGGACGGCGCAGCCAGATCTCCTCGTGCAGGCTACCCTGCAAGAAAGCAGTGCTGAAGTCAAGAGAGTGAAGCTCGTAGTCGCGCTGAGCGGCTATGTGTAGCAGCACCCGAAGAGTGGTCATCTTCGGGGTG